TAAGTAAAATTGAGTTGGATGAATCTGAAGATTTGCAAATGATTTACTCTTAGGAAGAAATCACGGATGAAAAAGGCATCAAACATGTTGATGTGGATCTTTTGTCAAGAGTGACAACAAAGTCGACATCTGATATCACATTAATCGATGATTACTTTCCTGATGAATCCTTACTTGAGTGACAAAAAAGTCGACATCCGACATCACACTAATCGATGATTACTTTCCTGATGAATCCTTACTTTCTTTTAGTTCAATGTCTTGGTTTTCTAAAAATATCAATTTTCTTGCTTTATAAGATTTGCCAGCTCATTGGAATACCCAAAATAAAGGAAAGTTTTTGAAGGAAGTGAAGATGAAGGCTGTGAAGAACTTTTATTGGGATGATCATAACTTATTCAAATATTATCCTAATCAAATATTTCAAAGATGCATTCCTAACAATGAGGTAAGTAGTGTCATTAAACTTTGTCATTCTGAAGCATGTGAGAGTCATTTCTTGTCAAAAAAGACAACTGTGAAAATCTTTCAAAATGGATTTTTATTAGTCCATTATGTTCAAAGACACATATGCATTCTGCAAAACTTGTGAAAATTATCAAAAAGTTAATACTAGTAAAAAAAATTTATTTTATAATTCTCGACTTTATTTATTCCTAAGAGAGCTAACATCAAGATGGAGTAGTCCATTTATTGAGAAATATATGTATCCTTATGAGGCCTTTGATATTGAGAATCCAAATAATGACAATGTTTTTAAGGTAAATGGACATCGTTTGAAAGCTTACTTTGATAATTTTACTAGTGAAAATGAATTCGTTGGTTTGAATGATCTTATAGATAAAGGTTGATTATTTGGTTTTTCTTACATTATTTTTGTGTTTTTTTTATATGTGACTCTTGTTTTGCTAGTCTCTCTTACCCCGGTTAAATGACGGATAATGGTACTCCATGACTCTTAAGTCGGTTATTTTAATTTTCTCTAATAACTGATATATGTATATATATTAGTATAATTCTTTACTTTTTCCTCTTTCTTTGAATCTCTCCTCCAATTCTCATTTGAAAATGGACACCACTCTTGAAAAATTAAAAAAGTATTTTCCCGCTCTGCCTTAGAATGCCATTATAAAAATTTACTGTGCTAGATGTGCAAGATTGAGGTTGTGAAATAATCATGGAACTTCTAAAGATATTCACTAGTTGATTGAAGCAAAGGTCCGATTATCAGGTGAGTCCTCTAATTCCTTCATTTAACACATGTCTATAATAGGTAAAAGCACTTTTGCAAAGAAATGTTGTGCCAAACGACTGAAAGTCTATCATTGTTGTGCCAAATGGACTTATAATGTACAATGTTGTTTTTTAGGAAGGTATCTATAAACCATGAGATAAAACACAATTAATTAAGGATGACCTGAGTAAGAAGTCTTTAGATAATCTTCTATTAACTTTTAAAATGCATCCTAGTGGATATGTGCATTGTGGAATTCATGATTCATAGCCACTATTCCATGAAGAACATGCTCAATATAGTCTTAAGAATCTAACTAAAAAAGACCATATTTGTTAGTGTTTAAGAAAACTAGATGGGAAGCCTATCCCTAACCTATAAAGAGTGTTTAAACCGTTCTTGGACATAAAACCAAGAGAAGATGTGAGCCACATTCACAACTATATGTATATACACATGTTTTTTCAAAAAAAAATATAAATAAATAAATAGAGAGTATGAGACTCCAGCTGACCTATATATAGCGAGTATGAGACTCCAGCTGACCTATATATATATGGTATGATTGTATTTTCAAGTTCTCATTTATAAAATCTTCTATTCCTTTCTTTCATTTCAACTCAACCCATACATTCAACAGGTATAGAAAGGTGTAGAAATAGCAGGTTCCTTAAGTCATCACATAAGAAACATTTGTGTTTTCAATACATTTAGTCTTGGGAAAGAAACATAGATTTTAGAATCTGGAAATCATCTTGGCCAGATACTAGCTGAGAGAAAGATTCATTCAATATATGGGGGAGGCAGCTTTAGGTTAATGGGAGAGTGTCAATAGCTACTTTTTTAGGAGGTAGTCAAGTTATAAGGGTCATCCCTAAAGCTTCAGCACAAGGGAACATCATTGGAAAAACAATTGTAGAGGAACTATAGGTCTCTACAATGTTTGATTGAATGAATACAATGTTTAAACACGTTGATGCCTTCATGGCCTTATCAGGTAGTCTGGGCACATTGGAAGAGATCTTATGGCCTTATCAGGTGGTCTGGGCACATTGGAAGAGATCTTTCATATTACCTCTTGGGCCCAACTACATATTCACCATAAACTCATAGGTTGGTTAAATGTTAATGGTTTTTATGATAAATTTTATCCTTTTTAAATCATGCTATGGAACAAGAATTTCATAATCTTTGCTGCTATTGCTGAACAATTGACTGACCAATTACTATCTTTCACTTCTGTAATTGATTCCTTCATGAGTTGCATAAATTGGTCAACTAAGGAAAACTGTAAAAAGCTTAGATTGGATTTGAGCCTTCATTTATGAATCATTGTGTCTTTTGGTTTTCTTAATAGTATATTATTTTGTGTTTTGTTGTTTTGTATATTTGTTTAAGTGTGTGTTATGTTTGTCACTGTTTAGTGTTTCAGGTGATATCTTTCATTCTCTATCTTTCTATATTAGAATATTAAGGATAATGCCTCATTTTAGTTGGGGGGAGATGGTAGTAGTTGATATTTAAAAAAAATAATTGTGTTTTTTTTATAAACCATTTGCAAACTATTGTTACTAAGATGGTAGAATAAGAAGGAATTTTATTAACTCTTGAGACGTATCTTGGTTAACATTTTTCAATGGTTATTTGCAATATTCATAACAAGGTCTCTTGAAATATTCAGGTTTACAAACTCTCGCATTGT